TTCTGTATGTCTGTATTTAGGTATGTATGTCTGTCTGTCTGTATGTGTGTGTGTGTGCCTGTTCGTACATGTAGACTGCATGTGTGTACTGGGTGCCTCTGTGTTTGTGTGTACAGTGATTTGCTTGTGTGTGTATGTGGGTGTGTGTGTGTGTTACGCGTGAGCGTGCGTACATCTTTTACCACCCATGGCTTTGGTTTTTGACTTTATTATATAGTACATATACATTATTACATAAATATAACATGCTTCATTGATGAAATACACACTGCTGTGCCGAAAGATGGATAGGGCCGAATGTAAAGACAGGCCTGCGTGCCTAATTTGCAACCCTTTGAAAATAAAGTTCGTTCGTTCGTTCGTTCGTTCGTTCGTTCGTTCGTTCGTTCGTTCTCTCTGACTGCGGATTTTAACCTACTATCTTTTGGGCTTATATATATATATATATATATGGAGCAAGAAACAGAGAGAGAGAAATGTGTATAGTATGTGTGGACAATCCTGAAAGCTAATCAGTGACTAATATTTAAGAGATTGATTAATTGACGTTCAACCCAACCAGGTCATCATTTCGAGCGATAAACACCTGCTGACACAAAGTGCCACCATTCGGGTGAGGATCACCTGGGGACAGGTCCCAGAAACCCTGTTCAACCCATAAGCTGGGTTACATTAGGGCTCCCGGCAACAGCCGGAGTATGGCTTTAAAATAAGGAAGAATTGGTCCCATGTTGGAATGGTTATTATACCACGCGTAGTACAGATATTCAATGGAATCTATTCGAGTTGCCTGGAGTTTTGGCACTTTAACTGATATTGAACTCCATCTTGGTATAATGAAAGATTAAATAAACATGGGACAAGCCAGGCTGGACCGTTTTTTTTTTTGGCGTGAAAATGGAATTACAGGGAAATAATGGATGGCCAAAATGTAATATACGCACCTGTCTGGTTTGATATACAGTATCGGTAAAAATCTGGCCACATACAAGAGAGACAATGACAGAAAAGAATAAGTTACTGTCATGGGTTGGCTCCCTTCTGCCGAAATGTCTAAACATATATTTTTTTAAACAACGTAAATGTTCCCGCTAGAACTCGATAAATACTGACAAGAATGATGGAAAGAGAGCAAAGGGAAGGCAAAAAGTTATATTTCTTGTCATGGCTTGATCAGATTTACAGAGGCGAGACAAAAACATTGAACTGATTTCCGTGATTTTGGTGATCGAGATGGTGAGAGATGGAACATGACTGTCTACGATTACCGACACAGCACATCATGATGATGAAATGCCCCATTTCCCATCCTTAGGAATATGTATAAGAAGTAATGGTAGAGGGCATAAAAAGGGAATTAGGGATTTGATGTTGCCGGGGGCCCTAATATAATCTAACGGTTGAACGGGGTTTTCGGGACCTCTCCACGGGTGATCCTCATCCGCATAGTGCCACTTTGTGTCACCTGGTGTCTATTGCACTGTGTGTTGTCCTGGTGGGGTAAAACTTACTTACTTGAGGCCTCTGGCATCAGCAGATATGGAACTTTACGAACTGTATCAGCAGCTGATTATTTCAGTGATGGCATATGGTCTGGGACGTCTTACGTGATCTCACAGCCAACTTTAGAAGTTGGGACGCCTGCAAAACGATGCCTAGCGAGTCGTTCTGCGCTGCACAAGGAACTCGTCAATTGTGTGCATGCGGCACGTACTTGCCTTGCTGTCTGTATATTAACGATACAAGATGCTGCAGGCAAAAGATACCCTACAGTCGCAGAGGATAGGGAACATCATCATCATGAGGTGTTGCCTGAAAATAAGTGGTTCTTGGATGGCACTGGCTGAATTAGCTTTCAGGAGTGTGTATAGAGCAGCTTTTCTCAAACTGGGTGTCGTGGCACCCAGGATTGCCGCGAGTGAATGCCAGGATTGTCGCGAGCGAATGCCAGGATTGTCGCGAGCGAATGCCAGGATTGCCGCGAGCGAATGCCAGGATTGTCGCGAGCGAATGCCAGGATTGTCGCGAGCGAATGCCAGGATTGCCGCGAGCGAATGCCAGGATTGCCGCGAGCGAATGCCAGGATTGCCGCGAGCGAATGCCAGGATTGCCGCGAGCGAATGGCCGCTAGGATTGCCAGGATTGCGCTAGAATGAGGATGCCAGCGAATGCCAGGATTGCCGCTAGCGACTGCCAGGATTGCCGCGAGCGAATGCCAGGATTGTGGGTCTATTCTTGTTTTCTTCATAGAAGGCCCCTGAACCCACACGGGTAATCTTTCCATCCAATATTTGGCATTATGTGGTAGGATAAGATCACAAACACGGAGGTATTCGGAAAAAACCCAGTATTACAACAGTCTAGGAAGGCTCAAGTGGCTGGATCACAGCTGGAGAATGGAGGATGGTAGAGCTTCTCAGGACATCCTTTATGGTGAATTAAAGATAGGTAGAAGATGTCGAGGCCCACCCATACTACGATATAAAGATGTGTGCAATCG